CCAAGGTTTAGGGTCGTTAAACTTGTATATATTATTATATTCACCACGCGACATGTGTGATGTATAAAATATATGGAAAATAAAAAGTTGAACCAATAATAATTTACTTTAAAATAGCATTATTTGTGTATGGTCCGATTAGATGGTGGTTGTTTATTGATCTTTGCTCTCTTCCTAAAGCTTCTTCATCTTTAATTTGTTTGGGAAAGATCCTATCGAATCGATGTCAAGCCCAAAGGCAGAAGAAGTTGTTACTGTTGATGTGAGGCAAGCCAAGAGTCTCATCGAATCTGGGTATCAGTATCTTGATGTTAGGTGAGCTTTATTGTATCTATATCATTCATCATCACTATGCATGCACCAATTTTCTCATTCCTTTGCACATGCAGGACCCAGGAAGAGTTCGAGAGAGGCCATTGTTCGGCACCTAAGATCGTCAACATCCCCTACATGCTCAACACACCTCAAGGTATAATCAAAATCAATCAAGTTTTTAGATTTAAAAAAAAAAACATGTACAATAGACAAACCCCTTGTCCTTGTCATCCATCTGCGTAGGTAGAGTGAAGAATCAAGATTTCTTGAATCAAGTCTCTTCTCTTCTCAACCCAGCTGATGATATCCTTGTGGTAACTCTTGTTTTCTTCCTCATCACTCCCATAATGAAATGAAAAATCACTTCTTCTCTTGTTTAATTACTTTCTGGCCATAAAAGCTTAAAACTTTGTGAGATCGAAATCCCATCATTTTGATAGTCTGAAATAGATCTTGAATCTGGTTATGACACATGTACGTACAGGGTTGCCAAAGTGGAGGCAGATCCTTAAATGCCACAACTGAACTAGTAGCTGCAGTAAGTCCCCTAATTTGTTAACGCAAACAAACTCCGAATAATGAGTTTAAGCAAAGAATCATTCATAGTATCTTCTTTTAAATATATATGTTTTAGGGTTTCAAGAAAGTGAGAAACATGGGAGGTGGTTACTCAGCTTGGGTGAATCACAACTTTCCCATCAACAAGGAGCAACAATCTGCAAACTAAGATTCACCATCTTTATAAAATAATGCAAGTGTGTGATCATGTAATAATAATCTATTCATTATACTCAGTGTGCTGTTGTTGTTATCAAAAAATGTAATACCAAATTCAATAAAAGCTGTTTTTTTTTTTTGGTCAAACAATAAAAGCTGTGTTTATAAAGTAACACTCGAATAAAATACACAGACTTGGATTCCGATGAGTGTGAATCGAACCAGTTTAACTCAAAAGGCTTGGGCTTTAGAGTAGATAATAAAGGCTCGGGCTTCACTTGTCGGTTCTCGTCCGGCGTTTCTCTCTCTCTGTGCGGCGGGGGTTTTCATGGAAGAACCGTCAAAGCTACAGTTGCCGGAGACTTTCCTTAGTTTTCTAGAGGCCAATGGCATTGATCCTTCAATCTATAGTCACGGAGATTCAATTCCACGCTATGTAAGGTAACTCCCTTTGCTCTTCTTCTCATGATTCCGGATTTTGGTATTGAAATCCAGAGCTCCGTTTGAAGGTTGAAACCTGGGTTCGAGGGTATTGTCCAAGAGATTGAATCTGAGATTAACTGTAAGCTGGAGAAGGTGAAGTGGTTACCTGGGTTTTACTCTATTCCTCCACATGTTCATATTGCGAGATCCAAGGCGTATCAGCAAGGGAAGGTGAGACTAACCATTAACCAAATCTCCTCCTCGCTAATATCAACCATTAGCCTTATTTCAGAATTCACCAACCATTATTAGCCTCATGTCTTCTTCCCTCGGATTTGTTTAGATGTACGGAATCGACGCAGCTTCCGGTGCCGCTGTTTCCGCACTTGATATCACCCCAGGGGACCATGTCTTGGATCTTTGTGCTGCTCCTGGTAACATTCTACATTTCGCTGGTTTTGTGTGTCTTCTACACATTCTGTGTATAACCCGAATGTGTTACTTTTGTGCCCGATAGTGTTAATTCGTTGTGGTAACTTCTTTTGCACGGAATACTCTCAGGTGCCAAACTATGTATGATGCTAGACCTACTGGCTGACAAGGGGACTGCAACGGGTGTCGATGTAGCACGCCATCGTCTTGCCGCCTGCAGAACACTTCTTCAGAAATATGGGGTTGGTGAAAGGAGCCGTCTTTTTCTTGCTGATGGAACCGCTTTCTCTGTGCCACCTACCACAAACCAACCATGTAGAGCAACACTTCTACATTTTCAATCGATATGTTTGTTTAAGCTTCCCTAACAATTGCTGATTGAGGTCATTTTGCTATGGTTATATTCAGGTGGGCCAAGTGTGGACGATCATGAAGAAACATTCAAGCAGTGGACTTCTCGTAAACCTTACAAAGAAAGGAAACAAGAAGCTAAGGCAAGGAATAATTCTGCTTTGCCGCAGAATGGACAGCCAGAAATTATTTTCTACGGACAGAGTTCTGGAGTTATAGGGCTAAAAAAGAAGGAACTTTATCCTTCCCTTGACCAAAATGATTACGCATATTGTGGGTATGACAAGGTAAAATTGTGATCCACATACAGTCGCTTAAAAGTAACATAACTACAGAACTGAAGTAGGTGGTTTTGCAGGTTCTTGTGGACGCAGAGTGCACACATGATGGATCAATCAAGCATATCCAGAAATTTGAGCAATGGGGTTGGACAACGCTGGAACGCCGTGTACTGGATGCTGAGAGAACCGATAGAAACTTGACAGCTCTTCAGTTGAATTTACTAAGAAATGGATTCAGATTGTTGAAAGAAGGCGGTACTCTAGTTTACAGCACCTGCAGTTTGACCCTTGCCCAAAACGAAGATGTAGTGGATCAGTTCCTCGCTGAAAATTCCTCTGCAGGTACATAAAAGTATAATTTTGAACAAATGAACAGAAATTTGGTGTGTATTGTCGTGTCGACAATGTGTCCTTTGGAAAAAAGAATCAAACTTTTGAGGTCTATATAGGTCAGGTTTTGTTTGAATTTGGATTTATTGTTCTTTTACTTACGGACTAGTGGTAAGATCTAACAGAAAACTGGGTGATGATGATGCAGAGCTACAAGAGATTGAAACGGCCAAGGATTGGCCATGTAGAAGTGGTCGTACGCCTAAAACACTGCGTTTTGATCCTTCCACCTCAGCAACCAGCGGCCTTTTCGTTGCAAAAATCAGGAAATTGCCACCCAAAGAAGCAGAGAGTAATGTGGTTTGATGCCTCTGTTATCTATTCTACTCACAGTTAAAAAGGTCGTTAAGTTGATGACTCTACTCAAAGTTGGCTACTTTTAGCTTTACATGTTTGTTAGAAGAATCGAAAGTGGATTGCTCTTAGAACCATTGAGATTTGCCTAATCTGATTCATGATTTTGGAGCTGATTCGTGTCCACTAGAACTTGCCGTCTCTGCAGTCCCAGCACTTTTCTACTGTCTTATTTTGTCTGTACATATCTAACTGTAAGGTTGATGTGATCAAAAAGGCACATTTTCACATTGGTTTGTTGGGTATTGAATTCAGAAACCAGTCCCCTTTTTTGCCTGACTCCTTTTTGGATAGGCCTCTTTACACATCGTCATTACCATATTGGGAACAATAAGAGGGGACTAGTCGGAGTGAAAAAAGGCAATAACTTCACCAAAACCACTGACCATGATTGTTTCTGTGTAACTAACTTAAAGATCCAGATCATACATTGTACAAAAGGCTGAATAGAAAAGAAATCACAAAAGTTAGAGAATTTCTAGGAATCGTTCTTGAAGATTCTCCAGCGGCAAGATCGGCCAGTACTATCCCCAGCAACGATCCTGGTGGACTTAAACTGTGACCCAAAACAAAATGTTGAGAGTTAAGAACCAACCAGAAAAATGGAAAAAACCTCTGTGTTGATAAGCTCTCTGTTTCTTTATTTACCTTTGGGAGTTGGGACAGAAAGTGATGGTGTAATCAGCGGCGGAACAAGTAAAAGTACTAGAAGCATCATCGTAAGCGTAGCTGTAAGATTTGGGACAAGCCGTCTTGAATACCAACGAATACTCCGACGGCTTACACGTATCCGGCGATCCGTAGGCGCCGCTGCAGCAATACTCCGGCGTTCCGAAAGCGTCGCATGCGCTCTTGCACGCCGCACCTCCCGCGGCTCTCAGCTCCACTGGACACCTCCGGTTCACATCCGTCGCGCAGCCAGTGGTGGCGCAGGTTCCATAGCCGCCTGTCGTGTCGACGATCATCGGAAGATTGTAACCGTCGACCATGCTCACGTCGTAAAAGTCTTGTGTTCCCGGTCCAGCAACGGAGGCGATGGTGAACTCCGCTAGAGTCGCCGGCGGAACCGCCCCAGCTCCGTTGCATTCCACCTGACCGGAACCGCAGTCACCGACGGCGCAGGAGCCAAGACCTTGGTCGTCGAAGTTGCAGCCGGTTCGTCCCGAGAAGCGTCCGGACCAACCGGGAGGAGCTGGGAAAGAACGGGAATCACTTCTAGGAAGCTCGAAGCCGGTGGTGTCGAGCCTGGAGCTGTCGGAACTTGCGAGAATTCCGGGCCAGATGGTGAAGTCACACTTGTTCACTAATGTAAACGTGGCGCCTCTAATACCTGCGTACGTCCCATCAACCATAAATTCGATGATGCCAAAAGAATTTAGCTCATACGTACGTACCTCTGCAGACGAAGCAGAGAATGATCAAGGTAAGAACTTTCATTTGGCAACGATCATCAAAGAAGAGAGCCATCAAAATTTACAGAGAGAGAGAAACGGAGAAAAGAGAGCTGCTCTGTTGCGCTGTGATCAAGACTCCCCTGCTACTGCTACTGCTGCTTTTTATATATCTCCCTCGTCTAGTGACGAAAAGAAACAAGTCGAACCAAAACGTGATTTTTGACACGTGTCCCCGTAGTCCATTTTCTAAAAAATTATGCCCACTAGTCCAAAATGAATAAAAGGTTAAAGCCTAGAAGCAAGGGGAAAATTAACAAAACAAAAACTGATATTGAACATGTAATAATATATTTCATGAAACACTATACTGTTGCAAGTAACATAACATGAATAGGGAGTGAGAAAGAGTAGTTTGGTGGTAATGATGCTCTCTTTTGAATGTTGATGAAAATCCTTC